GCACCCGGCAGCACCAACGAGACGCTGCGGGCGCGCCGACCCGAGCGGGGGCGACAGGCGCGCAGCCTAGAAGGTCCCCTTGGAGGACTTTGCAGTCGGGAACAGGGAGCATGCGCAGGCGCCAGAGGGCGCTCCCGGTTCGAGGCTGAGGCCGCCAGGCGGGAGGGGGCGGAGCCCGGGAAAGGGGGCGGGCGGGAGGGGCGGGGCCTGACGAAGGGGGCGGGGCGGAGACTGAGAGGTTCTCCTGGGAGCGAGAAAGGGATAAATTGCTCTGGCCGCGGGAGAGCAAGACAAAGGAGAGGAGAGTGGGCTGGAGGATCAGAGGCGGGAAAGGACGGCGAGGGGAGACCCAGGAAAGCGACCCGGAGAAGACGAGGGGCGGGGACTCACTAGCAGGCACGCCCCCTCCGGAAAGGGGCAGAGCTTGGAGACCCGGAGCCATGTGTGGGGTGGGGGACCGGGGAAAGGCCTAAGCTGGGGCATTTCCGTTCAGGGAATGGCCGAGCCCCCAATCTACACGCGGCTCCGCCTCCGCGGGGGCACGATCGCGGTACCCCATGACTCCAGAGCCCAGGGCGGGAGGCCGTGGAGCCTGTACTCTTTCCATCCTGACACCCACAAATGCTTGCCCCCCCTTCTGTTTGTATCTGCAAGCCCCTCCCTGAGCCGCTGCTCTCTCGCAGCCCGCGGGGGCGGGCCGGGACCAAGGGGCGGGCAGCGCGACCGGAGCGGGCGGGGCGCTGAGGCTGCCGGGTGGGGACCGGTGATGGGCCAGCCTGCGAGGTCTGTCCAGGCGGCCCCGGACTCTGGCGCGCGGCAAGGGTGAGACCCCAGGGGAGCCCCCGCCCGGGGAGCCCCCGCCCCCTCCTTTAAACTTCAAATTGCCAGGCTTGGAACCCCAGTGGGTGCGGGAGGCTCACCGGGTCCGCAGCCCTGGGGTGGGCCTTCGCAACGTCTAATAAAAACTTTGGGGCTCTATTGATAGGGGTGGGGGCCGACTCCGGGTCCTTCCTCCCACGGTGGTGGAGGGCAACCTTCCCATCTTCCGTCGCTCCTCTTTGACCCGGGTGAATTCAGAAGGGCTAGCGCCTCATGCCAGTTGCACCTGCGTGAGGACTTACAGGGAAGGGGGGTTGTGGGAGGGGTGTGGCGGGGCAGTAAGGGGTGGGGATGGGGTCAAGAGCTAGGTCTGGAATTACCTTGCTCAGTCTGAGGTCAGGAGCGGCAGGCTAGAGGGCCGATTTCTGGGCCTTGTTTCTTGGAGACAATTCTATGCCAGCTAGGGGTCATCTGAAAGGGAGGGTGCAAGCCATTTTCTGGGACCCTTCCTCTCCTAGCACCAGCGCCCCTGGATCCCCCAGAGCTCCTGGTTGCTAGTTGCTGGGGAAACGGCCCCTTCTGTCCAGAGTGTGAAGAGCCTGCCCTGGGCTTCTGCCACAGGAAACCTGCCACAGGACAGAGCCGGACAGAGGAAGCAGGCGGTTGTGGAGACAGGAAAGAGGGAAGGGAGGCACGGGACATTGAAAGGGCCTAAGGAGGATATCAGGGCTGTGAAGGCCCCAACCCAAAGCTGGAGTTTATGGAAGCCAGGATTTGGTGGTGGCCTTTGGTTGCAGGAGCCCATCCCAGACGGTGGTCTTCTAATTGTGGCCCTCAGACAGGTGACTGGATCTGCTGGTTCGAGCTGTAAAACCAGGCTAGGGAAAGGACCTCGGAGGACTGCTGTGAGGTGGTGTCCTGTCGAACAGAACCACCCCTGCTACTGTGGAAATATGACAGGAGAGAGCCCATCTTCTCTCTGCCTCCTCATTTGGCTCCACCACCCCTGCTGCAGATGCTGTGGACGCATCAGGGTTTGTCCAGAGCTGAGGAGATGTGCTCAGATTCACCGGGTGAAACTGCTACAGATCGAAGATGGAAGCGTGTGATTCTCCTCTGCCCTTGAGAGACGAGGCAAGCTGAGAGAGACGCGCGGGAACCATTAGGTGCTAAAGCTTGAAGAAGCCTATTGAACTTACTACTGAAGCTCAGGAAAAGGAGGTGCAGGGCAGTCAGGCAGCGGAGGCCTTCATGTGGGGAGATGCCCCTCTCAGGAGGCCCAAGGCTTCTGCTGGCAGAGCAGGGCCCAAGAAGACAGCCCTGAGGAAGAGGGCCAGCTGTGTGGCAAATGCCAGACGTGGAATGGTGAGAGTTAGGTGGGGGGAAGGGGCCTGCCAGCATGAAAGGCTCACCAGGAAAGCAAACTGCCCCCACGTGACTTATGGGCCTCTTTGTATCTCCCCCTGAAGCTTGAGAGACCCCCAAAGTTGGAGCTTTCAGACTCTGGAGCAGAAAGGGCTGGCCTGGCCACTGACAAGCCAAATCACCTTGTGTGTGTGCTCACGGAGCTTCCGTTCGGCCTTTTGTGAAATGGGTCCACCCCCACCTAACAGACTTGGCGATAGGTGCAGGAGGGTGGGGAGGGAGACCATGGGAAGTACTCTTATTGTCATTGCAGACTTGGCCAACCATGTCAGTGCCCAACTGGCGCTGGCCCCACACAGGGGAGAAGCCCACCCTCAGGGAGCCAGGCCCACCAGGTGACTCAGACAGTGACTCAGGCCGCCTGCCAGAGAAGGACACCTCTGCTCAGGTAGCACAGGCCCCACCCTTTCCTCTGAGACCTACAGCTTCTTCGTCCCTCCAGCAGCCTCCTCTCTCCCTCAAGTGGGAGGTGGCTTTTGAGCCTGGCCACTCTTCTCTTTGCTTCTCAGGGATCCTTGTCCCTGCAGCCGGTCCCTCAGGACAGGTTTTACCGCAGGCTCGTTCACATAAATACACTCCCCAAAGGGGTCTGTCAGGAGAGTAGTGGTTCTGCGTTGGGCTGTGATCTGCAAGGTCAGCAGTTCAAACCAGCTGCTCTGCAGGAGAAAGACAGGGCTTTCTACTCCTGTAGTGAGAGTCTCAGAAACTCACTGGGGCAGTTCTACCCTGTCCTCTAGAGTGGCTAGGAGTTAGTGTTGACTTGAGGGCCGTGAGTTTGTGGGGGGTCTGTAAGGAGTCCTGGTGCATAATGGGTTAGCGTTGGCTGCTAACCACAAGGTCAGTAGTTCAAAACCACCAGCCGCTCCCTGGAAGAAAGATGAGGCTTTCTACTCCTATAAAGAGTTACCGCCTCAGAAACCCACAGGGGCCATTCTACCCTGTCCTATAGGGTCACCATGAGTCAGAATTGATTCAATGACAGTGAGTTTGCTTTGAGGCTATCTTTAAAGAGCCCTGGTGGCATAGTGGGTAACAATCTGGGCTGCTAAACGCAAGGCCGGCAGTTCGAAACCACCAGCTGCTCAGGAGGAAGATGAGGTTTTCTCTCCTGTAAAGAGTTACAGTCTCAGAAACCCACAGGGGGCAGTTCTACTGTGTCCTATGCGTTAGAACCACCTCAACCATTGACAACTCATTAACAATAACATGAGTCAGAACGACTCCATGGCAGTGAGAGGGGTCTCTAGGGAGCCCTAGAGGCACTGTGGGTTAGACATTGGGCTGCCAGCTGCAAGGTCAGCAGTTCAAACCTGCCGGCTCCTGGGGAGAAAGGAGGTGTTCTGTTTTCCTAAAGTTGAGTCTCAAACCATACACAGCGGTGTTTGCAAAGGGCCAATACCTCCCCCTAGGGGCCACTGGGCAGATCCAGCGGAGCGGCCAATGAAGCTCCAGATACTTTATCCTAGATTATGCGCTATGGTCCATTTTTAACTGCCTGTGGGGTGCTGAATGGTGGCAGTCAGCTAAATCAGTTCCGTAGGTGGCTCGGAGTGGACTGACTTCATGGCAGTGGGTTGAGTTTGGCAGGTTCTGGTGGGTATAGTGGTCACCTTGGGCTGCAGTCCCTGAGGTCTGCAGTTCAGGACAACCAGGTGCTCCGTGGGGGAGAGACCGGGATTTCGGCTCCCGTACAGTCAAGGTCTGGGAAACCCACGGGTGCTTCAGCCCTGTCCTATAGGGTCTGCATGAGTCAGCATGACTCGGTGGCAGTGGGTTGGAGGGGTGTGTGTCTGTATTGTGGAATCGGAGCCAGAGGGGAGGAAGAGGACAGCTTCAAGGAAAGGAAGCTTTTTGGGGGGCGGGGCGCTGCTTCCCAACTTCCTCAGATCTCCACTATCTTGCTGGAGGTCACTGGCAGGCGGGCTTGGGAATGGTTCTACACTGGAGGGTGGGTGTGGTGGGGAGGGGAGCAGGGGAAGATGATCTGACCTAGCTCCACTCCTCACGGTCTCTGCAGGGACCTGCAGTTCTGAGTTCAGAACACCCTCACCGGGACCCCCTGCCAGCCGTCAGCCAGGCAGCGCTCCAGGCCCTCCTGCAGCAGCTCCCTCCACAGGACAGTGATGTGCGTGCCTCTCTCCCCCCACCTCCCCTTCTCTCTAAACTGTCTCACCAACCTTGGCTCAGAGGTAGGAGACAAGGAGCCCAGGGCCTCGCTAACTGGAGGGACTCACTCTGGCAGGGGGAACTGCCGCATCTACAGGATGATTATGACCGTCCACCCCGCCCCCCTGTCTGTCTTGTGCAAACGAGGAAATGTCCATGAATGCCTCCTGAGACCGATGATGATGGAATGTATTTACTGAGCCCCTACACGTGCCCAGTCTGCAGGCTGACAGTTCTGCTGGGGTGGTGGTGGCGGGAGATGAATGAGAGAAAATGCCAGAACGAGAAATGGCATTGTGCTGGGGTTCATGGAAGGTGACAGGACTTAGTGCTATGGGCCACCGAGGAGGGCTTCACTGCTCCCCTCCTCAGTGGCCCCTGCGGCTGTCCCCCACATCCCTGGGGCCCCCAGTGGTCTTCCGTCAAGCCTCTGCCCTGCCTGTGGGGCTATTTCTGCAGGAGCGCTACTGCCTAGCCCTGGGGGAGGAGGAGCTGGCAGGGCTGAGGCACTTCTGTGCCCAGCGGAGGCAGGAGGCTCTGGGACAGGGCGTGGCCCGCCCGCTGCCTCCCAAGCTGGAAGGGTGCACCTGTGAGAAGGTAGGTGGTCTCTGTGCCCAGTGCCTTCCTCCACCCACCCCAGGCTTCCTCACCGTGTGCTGGAGAACGGGGCTTGGGGAAAAGCTGTGGCTCTGGGGTGAGAGCAGCCACAGGGGCGGGGAGGTTGGGATTGGGAGACAGGAGCCTATGAACCGGGTGGGGAGGTGGGCAGGTGATCCAGTTGTGACTCTCCCTGGCAGTGCAGGCAGCGGCTGAGAACAGGAGAGTATGGTGTGTTCGCGGCCCGGGCCGGGGAGCAGCGTTGCTGGCACCAGCGCTGCTTTGTTTGTCAGGCCTGTGGTCAGGCCCTGATCAACCTCATCTACTTCTACCACGAGGGGCGGCTCTACTGCGGCCGTCATCACGCTGAGCTGCTGCGGCCGCGCTGCCCAGCTTGCGACCAGGTATTGTCCCAGGGTCCAGGTGACAGGGGGGCCAGGGACATCCTCCTGGCCTGCAGCCTCTCCCAGAACCTCAGAGTGGGAGAGGGAGAGTGAAAGACGAGCCCGGGACAGCTCTGTTCCTGTGCTCTGGCTTGAGCTGCGGCAGTGGGACCTGCGGCCTTTACCTGGGCCCTCCCTTACCTCCATGGAAGTCCCCTACATTCTCTTGGATTCAGGAGTTCTTGAGGGCACTGTCCAGTCTGCCTGGAAATGCTGGCTGCCCAGCTCGGTGCTTGGTCATGCTAGGAACCCTCTTTAATGCCAGCTGAGGAGACTGCTCAGGGCCTAGGCGGCCAGAGTCACACCTTGGCTGGTGCCACCTGCTAGCTTTTGGGGGAGGGGGAGGCTGGCTAAGCCAATCAGTCCTCCCTGCGTCCCAGAGTACGGAGATCAGATGGTAAGGTCTACAGAAGAGCTAACTGGGTGTGTAAGGCGTGGCCACTGGATGATTAAAGGAGTAAGTGAATGAATGAACGAACGAACAAACAGTCTACCCCCTCTCTCGCTCCCAGCTGATCTTCTCTGGGCGCTGCACAGAGGCAGAGGGGCAGCGCTGGCACAAGAACCACTTCTGTTGCCAGGACTGCGCCCAGCCCCTGGGCGGGGGGCGTTATGCCCTGCCGGGGGGCGGCCCCTGCTGCCCCAGCTGCTTTGAGAGCCGCTACTCGGATGCGGGCTCCAGCTCGGCCCAGGCGCTGGAAGGAAGGGCACCTCTTGGTACGGGAGGTGCCCGGCAGAGGGGGAGGGGGCGGTGGCTTAGACTGGCCCCAGGAGGGGCTTCTCCCACGTTGACCTGTCCCTCCAAAGCCCCCGCCCACCCCACGCGTCCCCGGGACCCCAGCCTCGCTGCCCGCAGCTCTCACCGCGCGTCCCTGGCCGGAGCGCTCGGAGGGCCTTAGGAACCCACCCTGCACAGCCTTGGGGCTGAGGCGCCGGGCTCGCTCCCGGGCTGGGGCCGCGGGCGCCCTCCGGTGGGCGGAGGCGGGGAGGGCGGGGAGCCGGAGGGAGAGCTCCCGGCGGTGGCGGTGGCGGCGCGCGTGACCCGGGGGGGGGGGGGTGGGGGGAAGCGGGAGCCCTGGAGCTCTGAGACGCACCTTTCGGCCCCGATCTACAACAGGGGGCACGGAGCCCGAAGAGCGGGCGGAAGGAAGGGGCTGCGCCCTGCCAAGCGCCGGCACCAACTCCCCGGCAGCCCTAGTCGCCGCCGCCAGCCCCAGCGCAGAGACCCTGCGAGGGCGCCTTGTACCCAGGCCCCGGGAGGAGTGGCCAGCCGGGGACGTGGTGGAGACGCCCTCTGATCCCAAGGAGGACCTCCCCTGCCCCACCTGCTCCTCCTCTTCTGACTCCGAACCGGACGGCTTCTTCTTGGGCCAGCGTCTTCCGCGGCCCGGAGAGCCCCCCGGAGGCGGTCTCCCTGCTGGGGGCAGCGGTCCCTCCGGGAAGCCATGCGTCATTTGCTAGCGGTGCAGCCCACATCGACCGGGGTGGAGGGGCCGGCGGGACAGCCAAGCTGCTCCCACCCCCACCCCTGATAAAAATCCGAGGCTGAACGCAACCGGGAGCAGGCCTAGGAAAGGAGACGAGGCGACACACTTGTGGGTACTCTCCTCTGACCCCCACACGGCCCGGGACGACGGAGATGGCCCGAACCCCATCAGCCCCAAAGTGCGCCCCCCTTACTGGCCAGCCCCCCTCCCTTCTCCGGGCTGGAAAGCCTCTTCTCCCCGCACTCTCCTCTTCGGCCAATAAAGCCATTTCTCAGCGACCACGTGTGACCGTGACAGGCCGGAGGCCCTGGAGGGAGGGTGGTGGGCCCGGGGCAGGGCCCGCTACGGCGGGGCCGCTCGCCTCCCGGGCCGGAGTTCGCAGGCACCCAGAACGCGGCCGCAGCACCCCCTACCGGCGGGCGGAAGTGCGGGACCGGAAGTGCGTAATCCACTGGCGCCCACGCCGTGCGTCCAGAGAGCCCGCTGCGGAACTCGAAGGTGCCGCCATGGCTTCCACCGGCGTCGGCGCGAGCGCTGCGGGATCTGCAAATGAAACGCCCGAGATCCCCGACAACGTGGGCGATTGGCTTCGGGGCGTCTACCGCTTCGCCACCGATAGGAATGATTTCCGGAGGTAACCGGGGCCGGGGGTGGGAGGGCGGTGGCGTTTGGTGCTCTGACCGTAACCCCTTCTCAGCCCAGCCTGGCGCCCGTGGCCTCTCGCGGTCCCGTGGTGGCTCTGGCTCTGCGTTGTTGAGGCCCCTCACTAGGCACGTTCCGGTGCGACAGAGGGATCTTTTCTGTCGTGGGCCCGCAGCTAGAGACTCTGACCTTGACAAGGGCGGGCGGGGGCCAGAAGGTAACACAAACGGCTTTTCCGGCCCTGGACAACTTGGGTGGCCTTAGAAACGAACTACTCATGTGGGTCTTGGGCAGACTACCCTGTAACGACCATGGCGCCACCAGTTGTTGTTGGGTGCCCTTCAGTCGGCTGCGACCCATCGTGACACCCTTCCCACCCCCAAGTTCTACAGCAGCGCATTTGCTTGGGGAATGTTTTGCAGCCCAAAGACCGGTGATAAGAGTGGCCACAGGGTTAACAGAATACGTGCTTTTTGCAGGAACTTGATCCTCAACTTGGGACTTTTTGCAGCAGGCGTTTGGCTGGCCAGGAACTTGAGCGACATTGATCTAATGGCACCCCAGCCTGGGGTGTAGCCACCTAGGTAAGCACTCAACCATTGCTCGTGTGTCTTAGGGGTCCTGGAGGCCAGGAGCATCAATCATGGGTTTAGGTCACTTTTATTAAGCACAGGGAAGATGTCAGTCCTTTGATGATTCCTAATTATGTCTTCAGAGGCCGCTTTGGATTGACTTGGTTCTTCCCTATTCCCTCCAGCACTTAAGTTAATGCCTCCCCTGTCATCTCCTTGCAGACACTTGGGACCCTTGTGCTGTACTTGAACCTTCCCCACAGAGCCTCCATTTCTGTGCCGCCACAAGATTTGCCCCAAGGGCAACTGAAGTTTGATTCCGATAAGCACCCACCCTCCCCTGCCTGGTGTCACTTCCTTTGGCTCCACTCCGAACTGTGTTCTCCGGTCAAGCATGAGCTAAAGGGTTGCTCGCTGTTAAGTACAGTTGTGTGCATAGCCTCTTCCAAGTTTCTGAAGGGGCTGTCTGGACTCTCATCCTGGGAAAGAGCCTAGTGGTATTTTATAAATACTTGAAATAAAGAATGGAAATACACACAGCCAACACCATTTTATTCTTTTAATAAGAAATTTCTGCTTACAAAAACAAGGTGTAAAAAGTTGAGATTTACAAAAATCATAAAAACATGATTTATATATCACACTCAGAAGAGACAGGAACAAGCCCCAAACGTGGATTGCAATGGAGGTGGATGGCTTGCTACTTCGTAAAATTTAAAAAAAAAGGAAACTGTAAGCACCATACATTGGCATTAACGTAAGATGAAACATTGAGGAATTCCCGTTTTGAGCAGTCCTGGGGAAGAAGCCGTTTGGTGTTGCATAGCATTTTAGTGCATCGGGTGGGTTTTCCAGGCACCGGGGAGGCATGGTTTCTGCAGTCGAGTGGGATTTGGGAGCAGGAGGAGGGCAGTGCTGTGCAGTGGAGGCCAGGTGTCCACCTGGGCATGGACACGAAAGTGACTTCTGCTGGATAAGGAAAGAGATGTTTGCTGACCCTAAACCTGAGGGTGGTGCCACTGTCCGTGGCTTCTAGGTTCTTTGGGAATGGAATGTGTAAGGAACTGGCTTGCAAAGAGGCAGGCAAGATGTTTGGTTCAACATGCCAGCTTCTCTGCCCTCCGGTCTACATCGAGTGTGTGCTTGGTTCTAAAACAGATTCCCTGTGGCTTCCTCGAAAAACAAAACCACTGCTTTCATGTGCCAGGTCTCCTGTGGGAGTGGGGATGCGGTTAAAAGAAGTGGATCGGAAAAGGGAGTCAGTATCAGTGCACCACAGGAGCCTAGTAATTGTCTTGTACAGCTGACAGATGGTGTCTTTAGCAATCTGGTCCCTAAAGTGAAATAGCACAACCCAGTCCTTTTTTGGATCCTGCCAGCTTCGATCTCATTAAGGAAGGTGTTGAAGGATGGCCCTCAAATGTGTGCGTGCTGTAAAGCGCCACTGTCTTGTGTTAATCAAATTCTGATAGGCGAGATGGCTACAAGCTCATGTGAATTCAGGTCTGTGGGTGGCTTAACCTTCTAACCTAGAGTCTACACTGGGACTATAGGTTTTCTGTCCTGATGGAGGAGGATCACGTGCAGGAGAGCAAGCCTTGACCCCCTGCCAGACAGTGACTAAACCCTTGAAGCCACAGGGGGGATGCAGAGCCCCCAGAAGTGCGCCAGACCAGCGCCGAAGCAAGGAATGCCAGCACCTCCAGCTCTGCATAGAGGGGAACTTACATCCTTAAGATCTGCTGCCAGAGCGAATCATCTTGCACTATTCTTTTGGATAGAAAAAAATTCCAAAGTTGGAAGTCAGAATCCAGCAAGAGAACATAATTCATTCAAATTTCACATGAAAATGTTGTTTTAGTGTTCAGTAATAATGTCTGCTGCTGGTTAGGTTTTAAACCCAGGGGTAAAGAGAGTTTCACTTAAGCTGATAGAATTTCAAACTTAAAGTGCTACACGGTTAGCAAATACAGGTACCAAACCTGCTGCTTTTAAAAAGCTTGATGAATTGTCATTCTATAAATGAATGAAAAGTGCTGCCATTCACCATGGCCAACGTACAGCATTCTCACCAAGGGAACCATTTTCACATCATCATTCTGTCCTGACTAGTTAGCCCAGGGACTCAGAAGCCTCTGAGGCTGGCTCCTGGGTTTTCAGGGGGGCGCCTGGCCACAGAAGTCTGGAGAGCATCCAGAGGGGTCGGTTCCCCCCAATGCTGTAGCCGCCGGGGATCTGGAACCGTGTGGGGTTGAACCAGTAAGGGCAGTGGTTCAAGCCCTAGCCCTAAACCAAGCACATGGCTAGTTTAGCTATGGAAGATAGAAAGCGAAACTCAGTCATTTTCAGAAGGCGCTTTCAGCGGGAGCGCTGAATTTAAAAAGAACCTGAACCACCAGGGAGCTGCTGCATCCTTCCCCAGTGAAAACTTCATGGACAGGGGAGGTTGTACCTAATTAGGTTGTATCTAATTAGGCAAGTTGGAGGCTGAGGGACCCGATTCTCAAGTGTGCTTCTAGTGGTGAGCTTTTCAACAGCCTTTGGTGAGGTCTCAGGAGTAAGGAAAGAGAAGCCCACTGTTATCAGGCCAGCCTGCAGGTGAGAAGGCTCCTCACCTCTTCCCTTCAGGGAGCAACATGGCTGCCTGCACCCACGGTGCTGTCTGGCAGGCTCCTTTCAGTCGGCCACACAGTGAACTGGTTTGCCTTTCAGTCTTAAGGTTCACACACAAGGGATTGTTTTTACACTGCTTGAAATTTTGTGCAAAAGTGAACGGAAGTACCTATTGGAGAGGGATTGGGTTTTGTTGGACCTTGACTATAATAAGGTGCCCGGCTTTAGACCCAAACTAAAAGGCCCTTTTTAAACATTTGTGCTCTCCCAGCCAGCTGGAAAGCAGCCCCTCGCCACCACACCATGTGTGTCATCGCC